GAACTTTTCAACCTAAAATAAGCAAGTATCTAATTAATGACCAAGCAATTAATTAATACAATGAGAATGCAAGACTAATCTAGAAAAACAAGAATAATTAAACTATTTGTCTTGAATTAAAAAAAAAAAATAACAATTGTTCATCTTCATCCAATACCAACAAGGATACATAGACTAGCATATTTTATATAAATTACAAGGAGAGTAATGAATAGATTTCATCCAAAACATAATAAATGCAAGATATCTTGGTCTTCAATTTCAAGCTCGAAATTTAATGCAATTGTCCTTTAATTTCTTGCTATGTTGATATTTTCTCAAAAAAGCTATGAATTCGCCTTTTATTCTTGATGAATTTGATTGTATGGATGTGTATTAAGAGGCTGAAAAAGATTCCCTTAATGTTTGTCCACGTTCTATATTTAATATTTATAGGAGTTGGAATTTAGGTCAAAACCGAGTCCCAAGTTGGTTCGAAAAGAGTTTCAATAAAAAAAAAAAAAAAAGGCCCATTTGATGAAAGTTAACTTGTGCATCCACACCATATACTTCACCATGCGTACACTGTTATAGACTTCACATCATGGGTTTGAAAAAAGGGTAGCTTGTGTGTTGAGGAAAAGTGGATATGTGTGGTCATTAGTATTTTTATCATAACTTTCTCTTTCAATATTTGATTAAAATAATTCAAAATGCATTAGTAAGATCACTCAAAAGACTACAATTCGTCTAGATATAATTTTTATAATTAGTCGTTTGCTATACAAAAAATTAGAGGCTGGACATTGATTTGCAAAAGTACTTTGATTATATTTCACTCTTTTGACTTCTAACTATATCCAATTAATCCTATGCCATTTCAATCAATATTTTGTGGTCTGAATCAACTATTGAATACTTACAATTTCATTTCTAAACTTTGGATTTCCTCTATTTTCTCATCACTTTTCACTCATTTTGTCTATTTTCTTCAAGTTGTATCGAATTTTACCTAATAAACGAATTATATACTTAATTAGCTATAATTCATCAAAATATACAATAATAAATCTCATTTATTGACCTAGATAAGTTTATTTTGACACCTTCAAATTTGAAAAATTTGTCCTTAAACAAAATATAACTTAAACTTCTAAACAAACATGATTAAATAATCTGGCATTGGTCTTAGGACTGGAAATTCTGTATCAAAGTTATAATAGCTTTAAAACCATAATGTTGAAATCAACTATTACACATTCAATGCGAAATTGATGTGTGTGAGCGCGTGAAGATTCATGTAAAGCATTATAATTTATAAAGTGATTCAAATTTCGACTTTCGATGGTCAAATTCCTCTATTATCTCATGAGATGCACACCCTCAAACTTATTATTCTAACTCTTCTCTTAATGTATGATCTGAAGATGAATTCATATATTAACTCACACTCTCTAGTTTGGTTGAATTTTATTAATTGCAACTCACACATCAACAATGAGGATTCTCTTTATTTCTGATTGCTTCAATATTTAAGAATCAACTAAACTAATAATCCATTATTAAAGGTCTAATTTTCTCAAACAAGTATTTGGGGCTTAATCAAGACATTTAGGGCCTCTTCTTCTTCTTCTTCCTTTTTTTTTTTTTTTTTTTTTTTTCAAATTTGCTATATTTTATTTCATGCATTAGCTTAATCCTTTTTTGAGTATTCTTTTTTGGAATTTTCAATAAGTATTCCCATTGGGATTTTTTCTAAGGTAGCTTCACAACATGTCAACTTTTTTCTTATTTGTATAATGATTACTACAATGCTACACATTAAATTCTCATTCTAAAGAACTAACCCCTAACTTCAAACTTTCACATCATTTTTATCTTATTGACCTTAGACAATCAGACTATCCTAAAATTGGTTTACGTATTCTTTTTTAGTGGTTATTTGGTTTAGCATATAAGTCCACTATCTTTCAATCCATTATTCCTTGTCCAGAATAGATTTGTGGTAGTGTCATGTTTCTACAAAGTGAATAGAAAATAATCATCATATGGAACGATTTATATTAAGCTCAAACAAAACATATAGGAAAATATGGGGATGTAGGACCCCTAAACGACTAAAAGAAATAAACTTTGCTAATCTGGACTCTAGAAAACTAAATAAATAAAAGGAATGAAAATTGGATTGCTTTTCAATAAAAGCTTGTTTATAGCCGTTAGCTTAACTTTGTTATTTTAGTCATGGTGGTTTGAATATGGTGTTTTCAACTTCCATTGGTTGTACTGGCATATATATTAGTTTTATTAATCTTTGGTCTTCCAAATTTTAAAGTTTTCACAATCGTCCATTATTGTTCCAACCAATCCAGCAATTCTTTTTTGTAGTGATAACTTTCATAATCATCATTTTCTTCATGGTCAATCCTTTTGTACTCCTTAATGTAAGGTGATTACTTGAGTAGAGTGTTTATGGTGAAACTTTGTTGTATTTCTTTCACCCTTAATATTACATCACTCTTTTCAAAATCTATTAATGCACGTCTAGTGTTAAAAATGGTCTTCCCAAAATGAACGGCATGCCTTGAACTTCTTCTATATTAAGGATAATGAAATAAGTTGGAAAGATGAGATCTTCAGCTTTGATGAGCATATCCCCAACTACTCCAAAAGATGCTTAAGTGACATGTCAGCCAGTTGTAGAATTATTGAAATTACTTTAAGGTCTCCTAATCTTAATTTCCTCTATATAGACAAAGGCATTATATTGATACTTGATCCAGAATCAATTAAAATATTAATATTATGTGAATTTCCTATAGAAAGAGATAAAGTGAAAACTCCTTAGATCTTTCAATTTAAGATGGAGCTTGTGCTGTAGGATTGTATTGGACTTTTCTGTCAATGCCACTACTCATTTATTGATAGATTTCTCTTCTCGATCATCATTTCTTTCAAAAAAATTTGTAGAATGACATCAATGTAAGGAATGTTGACTTAAAGTTGTTTGAAAGCATTAAAAAACTTCTTGAAATGGTTTTCCAATTTATTATTATGCAACCTTTGAAGGAATGTGACTAGAGGTGTGTGTTTGTTAACAAGAATGATTGCCTTAACCTGTAGACCATTTGACTATTCTTTTTGATTAACCTTTGTTTATTATTCAGACAAAACAACTTGTTCTTCATCCGTGGTAGGTATTTGATTCTTCTTTGTCAATTTCTTCTGTATAATGATTTCAAATAGTTTGAACTCTAATTTTCCTCGTGATAGCTTGAACATGTTCTTCTTTTGATTGCTTTCGAAGCATTTGAAGGAATGGAATAAATGATATTACTCCTCATGTACAAAGCTCCAGTGGAAGCCACGTGGAGGCACTACATGTAGACATCTGGTAGTCAATCAAGTAGGGATGGCAATTCGAATTGTCAAAACCGAAAACCGTGGTTAACCGAACCGAATGGGGCGAAAAAATCGAACCGATGGTGCAATGGGGCGGATATGGTATTTGATATTGCTGAACCGCTATGGGGCGGGGCGGGTATGGTATTTACACCCTTGCCCCGAAACCGAACCGATTACCCGTAAAAAAAAATAAAAAAATAATAATAATAATTATTGGACTTTCCACTATTTTTATCCAGCCCAAAATAAAATTCTGCCCAGCCCAATACATTCACTATACCAGTCGTCCAGCCCAACTCCCCACAGCCCAGTTACCATAACCCATAAGAAATTATAGAATCGGGTTCGGGACCTTCAGGTATATGACTTATGAGAGTGTAATTGTGTAAACCCTACTCCTTACCCTTACTTCACAAATCAGTGAAATCAAACAGACAAACACAGACCACACTCACGCAGTCGGCAACCACAGCTCCACGCCTCATCGCCTCCAGAGTCCAGACAGTTAACTTCACGACATCACCGGTTCACCCTACAACAAAAAAGCACACAGCCACGAGCTTCACTGCTCCTGCCTCCGACAGTCCTACCACTATTTGAGGTAAATGAAATACCGAATCATCTTCTTCTGCTATTGCTGTATTTGAGTTTTTCTATATTTGAAGGAACTGAAGTGCACGCCCATGTTGAAGTATGGATTTAATTCACTGCATTAGTATTATGGGATATTAGGGAAAATGGGTTTTGCAAAGAAAGTGTTTGATGAAATGATTGAAAGAAGTTATGCTTTGTTTTCTAAGTAGTTAATATAAATTAAGGACATGAAAGAATTTGTCTGAATACTGAACCTTTTTAGGGGCATTCTTCAATTGTTCGTAGCATCTATCCACATAATTGTCTATCCACGATGTCTCAAGGCTTGTAATGAGTGTTCATAAGTGGTTAACTAGTTTCTAATGCATTTTATCTACGTAATTTTAGCCATTATATCATTTGGTTGAAAAGTCAGAAATGCTTTTGTTAATGTAGACAAAGGCATTGCAACTTTGGACTGATTAAAGCATTAAGGCAACTATATGTTCCTGACATTCAAGATTTAATTGATATGTCACGAATTCAATCCTTATTTCCCTAATTCTGCATGTATTTTTGCCTTGTAATGCAATTGAATTCTTAATAATATCGGATATAAACACACACACGCACAGACGCACACACGAGCTACCTATAGAGTAAGATGGGACTGGACAATTTTGTGCCTTTTGACACTGAATTGATTTCACAGGTTTAATTCTTTGCTCCTCTAGGAGATGTTATGATATGGAAAATAAATCTTTATTTGCTACATTGGGTGCTTATATTTGTTTTTACCACAATTTTAAATGACATCCATGTGCTGTAATTTTTCTAAACCACTATATTGGCATTACATCTCCACAGGTTCAATCTGTAGTTTCTGATTAGATATAGATATGACCTTCCTTTGTTTCTTTAACTTCTTCTATTATGCAGTTCCTTTCCATAAAAATTGAGTGCCTCCAACTAATTCCCAGCACTTCACGCCTTTCATTCTCTTCTAAATTGTTTTAGATTGAAAACCTCAATTGAAATGATGCAATATGGTTAAGACTTTCTTTATGGAACCAAGTCCATTAGTTGATTCTTTAATTGGTTTGAATGGCCATATAATTTTGAATTGGTTTGGAGTGACTTGGTCAGCGTGGGACTGTATTAAGTTGCTGGGAGCATTTAATTTTGATCAAGAGAAAGGTAGGACGGAACTTGCAAATATGATCATCCTACACGAATATTCTCTGTTAATGGTTGAGCATACTGGGTTTAGAAAGTTTTGTAATACAATTCAACCATTATTTAAAGCTGTTTCTCGTAATACCATCAAGGCTGATATCTTGAAAATTTATAATTATGAGAGAACAAAAGTAATGGGCTTGTTAGAGAGGACCAATAGTAGAATAGCAGTCACCACTGATATGTGGACATCCAATCAAAAGAAGTGATTTATGGCTATCACTGCACATTACATAGATGATTCTTGGAGGCTTCAGAGCCGAATTTTGATGTACAATAGTTTTATAAAATAGACTTTAAGCTACTATCGTATTTTCTGAAATTTTAAGTTATCTTACGAACTTTTTTTCATATCCATACAGATTTATATATGTCCCTTGTCCCCACACTGCTGAGTCACTGTCTACTGTGTTAATGGATTGTCTATTTGATTGGAATATTGATCAGAAATTGTCTACATTGACTGTTGATAATTGCACCACGAATGACGCTATGATTAACATTATGTTAGATAAGCTTTCTCTTGGTTCTTTATTGTTGAATGGTGAATTTTTCCACTTGCGGTGTTGTGCACACATATTGAACCTGATAGTAAAGGATGGTTTGGATGTCATTAGCCCGAGTGTTGAGAGAATTCGTGATAGTGTTTCATATTGGTCAGCAACACCAAAAAGAGTTGAAACTTTTGAGGCAGTTGCACGACAAATGAAAATCCCTTGTGGAAAAAAGTTATTATTAGATTGCAAGACTCGATGGAACTCTACGTATCTAATGATTCATACTGCTTTGCTTTACAAAGAACTTTTTCCTCGACTAAGGCAAAGAGAGCCTCATTACAAAAGTGTATCGAGTGAGAATGATTGGGAATTGGCTACATATATTTGTGATAAGTTGGAGATATTGTATGAAGCGACTGAATTATTTTCAGGAACAAAATATCCTACTGCCAATTTGTACTTTCCCAATATTTGTGACATAAAGTTGGCAATCCGTGATTGGAGCACATCATCTTGCGATGAAGTCAAATGGATGGCGTCAAGCATGAAGGAAAAGTTTGATAAATATTGGAGTGGCATGCATGAAATTCTAGCTGTTGCAACTATATTGGATCCTAGATACAAGATGAAACTAGTTGAATACTATTTTCCTTTGATTTTTGGAGATGAAGCTCAGGAAGAGGTTGAAAAGGTTAGAGCATTTGGTCATAAGTTGCTCAAAGAGTACAAGAGATCACATCGTTCTACAGAAAATACATCTTTGTTTCCATCATCTTCACAATCAGAGTCGTCTACTACTAGTGGAAAACATTCTCGCATGGCTGGTTTTGATACATTTGTTAGCCTTTCTGTTACTGCTGATCATGTAAAAACAGAATTCGATGTTTTTCTAGATGAGCAAGTATTGCCTAGGGTGGACGGTTTTGATCTATTGACATGGTGGAAAGCAAATTCAATAAAATATCTGACTTTACAGAAGGTTGCAAGAGATTTATTAGCCATTCCAGTATCTACTGTTGCATCCGAGTCATCATTTAGTACACGTGGTAGATTTGTGAGCCCACATAGAAATAGGCTTCACCCGAAGACTTTAGAAGCTTTAATGTGTGCTCGAGATTGGCTTTGGTATGATATTCATGGTAGGATGTATTGTTTTATGTTTGTTATTTATGCACTTTCTTTTATTGCTAATTTTTTCCTCTTTCGTGTGTAGAAAATTCTGGTCCTTCATCATATTCCGGAGCTTATGCAAAGTTTGATGACGAGGATGTTGACGAAGAGGTACATTTGTTTAAATATTTAGTTAAAAACATTATGGATTATTGATTTATTACTCTACTTACATTTCTTATATACTACATAGGAATCGACTTTGAGTTTTGACGGATGCCAGTAAGAGTTGTGGAGAAGAATGAAGATTGAATATGAATTGAAGTTGAAGCTTTTTGAGTTATTGAATATTGTTTGTTAAATTTGGATTTTGTGTAACTGTGTTTGAGAATTGGGATTTTTTTGCATTTTCATTTGGGATGTATTGTTGTTCGCTACATTAACTTAGTATCATGTTTTTGTTTTCATTTTAATTCGACAGATGGACCAATTAAAAATAATTTATTTTCGTGGTTATTAACGACCCGAATCGAGCCGAACCGAGATACGAACCGAAACCGAACTGAACCGACTTTCGTGGTTATGGTGCGGTTATGATATGACCAAAATATTGATGGTTCGGTGATGGTTTTGGACGAACCGACCCCGAACCGAACCGTTGCCATCCCTGCAATCAAGTCAAAATAAAGAAAAGATGCTCTTTGGCCAAAATACTATCTCTACCAGGGGTTCTTCTGTCAAGCTCTACTGAGGAGTTGCCTTCTAAAGCTAAACCCTTTTACATCCAAAGCTCTCATTCTAAAGGTCCAAGTGTTTACCACCCTTAAAGCAGGTTTGATGAGTATCTTTAGGAATGATTGATGTGACATTTGTATTAATAAATGTCAGACATGTCAGCCTAAGAATGTAAGGTGGCTGACCTCTTGTTAATGTATGACAGAGTGATGTGAGACTTCTGTTAATTAGATGGAGCCACATAGATCTGATTCAACGGTGACCACGTTGGCCTGAACTCTACAAATAGCAACTTTTATAACATTGTAAAGGATTGGCAAACATAAATACAAACGTTACATGATTAATATCACATTTAACTTCTTCTCTTGCTCATTTGATATTAATTTTCCTAAGTTTAGATTACTTCTACTTTGGTGGAATTGTTTGTGAGTTTGCAATCATCTTTGATCATATTGTCGGCGTCCGAACGTTTTGGTCTCATGTCATAAAGCATCTCCCACGTACATTAGCGCAGCAACAACCTTCCGATCAAATCTCCGGTCCAAACATGCTGAGATTTTCTTGCATGGATGCGAGTGGGCTCCAAATCTATTGTCCATGTGGGCATTGCAAAAAAGAGGTCACAGATTGGCGCCGTTTGTGGAAACCTTACTGTCAACCACAAAAGTCCCATAGAGAAAAGTTAGCAATCTTTGTGTGAAGGAATTTCTTACCTTTGAAAAAAGGAGTTATTTTTGAAGAAAGAATCACCAAGAGAAACCTTCAATTAATATTTACATCCCTTAAAAATTGAAGCATTGATTAGCTTTGAAACAACGTGAAACACTATTATGAGTACTAGCAATGAGGATTCAGCACCTCGAAGAACCAGGGAACACCATGAAGAAGGAAACCCTCGCACGTTATTCTGATATCTCGCCATAGATTCCACCAACCATATAGGCGAGGTGGACCAAGGGGAGGATCTAGGATAGCTGCTAGACTTACCAGGAAAGTGGCCACCATGGCCAAAAATACGAGAAACATAACTCAACAGAATCTCACCATGTAGGAGCTGTTAAGGTATTGCAAGCCAGGAGGATAACCAGTTTCCCCATACATAGCTTAGGGGAATGCATTTTTCGAAGGAAACTAATACAATGGTGAGGACAAGGTCCAAAGCTAAATGGCAGGGTATCAACAGTATCCTAGAGAGGAAGCCCCTCAAGAAAGGAAAGTTGGGATTGATACATCCACCAACTATGCCACTGATCAGTATCATGAGGTCCGTTTCACTTTTTCTCCAAACTATGATCTAGAAGATGCGCCTAAAAGGTTAGTAAGCACCTTAGATAGGTTGATCCCAGGTCAACCTAGGAATAGGCAAGCTCAACATCCTTTATCTAGAAGTAAGCAGTCGGAGGTGCCTTGGTTTGAAAGGCAAATTGATAACATCAATCTTCCACCTAAAAATAGGCATAAGAGAAGAGCAGATAGGTAAGGAATCAAGCATGACCATCTCGACCACCTCAGAAAGCCCAAGTCAGAGAAGATGAGGATTCTGACGAGCCGCAAATATCCTAGAACGCTGATGATGATGATGATGACAATCTGCCATTTTTGAATGCCCCTGTCCTCAACCACTTCACGTTTCCTAAAATTCTAAAATATAATGGGAGAGACCATCCTACAAAACACCTCAACAACTTCAAAACTCATATGAGCCTAAGAAGAGCTACCTTCGTAATGAAGTGTAGAGCCTTGCACTCAACTATGAGTGGAGCTATTGAAGTATGGTAAAACAAGCTCCCGAAAAGAAGCATCCGGAGCTGGCCAGACTTTAAGAAGGCTTTCTTTAAATGCTTTGCTAGGAGTAAAGAAGGCGAAAGACCTATTTAGAGCCTACAAGATATGAGGCAACAATAAGAATAATCATTAAAAAATTTCTTATCCCGTTTCACCGACGAAATGACCTACTGCGTGCAAGTCATGGATATGGAGACTTTAATAGCCCTAAGAAGAGGACTAGATATGAACTTCCTCTTTTGGAAAGATGTGTAGAACAAAGATCCTACCAGTTATGATGCCTTACTGAAAATTATAAGGCGTGAGATCATCAATGAAGAGTTGAGAAATCACTGGAATAGGGCAAGTTGAGGCCTCCCACTACCACAAATGCAGATAGGAAGAGGTTCCACCTCTCACTTAATGGACCACCAGGTCGAACCTTTGACCTCCCTCAACCTAGGACAAGCATTAGCTATAACAACATTGAATGCGGTTCCTACTTTGGCTTACGAGGAGGTGACCTTCTAGAAATTTATCAAGGGAGGCCTTACCAATAGTTCTTTCAAACGGGAAGAGGCAGGGGACGAGGCTCCGAACCTAGAAAGGGGGATGAAGAACCTCTCTATTGTACGTACCACTATTCCTATAGCCACAACACTGCTGGATGTAGAGATGTCGCTAAGCACCCAAATAATTAAAGAAGAAACAATCGCCCGCAAAGGGACGCAACTTCTAGGCAAGGGCTGTAATCTAGGAATGATGAGGCGAGTCATCCCAATAGGCATGGCACCCAACAAAGGCGAGACAATGAGGAGGAAAGACTTGTAGAAGGTTGAAGGCAAAGAATGAGCTCCTCAACCAACGCTTATATCAATTGTTGAAATTCCATTCTTCTTAAAGGTAGTAAGAATAAGAAGGCATTTGTTCCTCTTGTCAAATAGGAAAGTCAAAGAAATTACCTTTCCAAGAATCTAATCAACAATCAAGTACTCAATTAGAAATTGTTCATTTGATGTATGGACTTTCCCTGTAATGTTAGTGGAAAATGTCGATATTATGTTATATTTATTGATGATTTTACGAGATTTACATGGTTGTATCCTCTTTCACTTAAAATAAAAAAATTCAATCTGACAATGGTGGAGAATACATTTCTGACAATTTCAGAATTTTTTACACCACTCACTACACCAAAAATGCTCATTTGCAACACTCAAAAGGCAACATTCATTGTTTGAATGTTGCTAAAGGAGTTTTTGGCAACATTCTATATGTGAATGTTGTGATTGGTTAATTTTATTGAGCTTTAGCAACGTTATTTAGATGAATGTTGCCAATCTCACTTTTGGCAACGTTCACTGAACATTGTGAAAAATTTAACTTTTTGCAACGTTCAATGAACGTTGCAAAAATATAACACTTTTGCAACGTTCAACGCTAGTTGCTAAAATGCTCTTTTGCAACGTTCAACGAACGTTGCGAAAAGTAACCTTTCGCAACGTGTATATAATTGTTGCTATAAGTCTTTTCACAACGTTCTTAAACACGAACGTTGCGAAGAATCTCGCCCCTTTCTTTAAAATATTAACCTAACTTAGATAATTCCCATTTCACAATTTGGGTATTCCTTCCCAGTTCTCGCCCTTGGCTGCGGACGTGACCATGTCTCTCTCTCGCGCTCCACCTTTACCGATTCTCCACTCCGAAGTCTACACATTACTTCTTGAGTAGTTGAGCTAATCCATTGCTCACGTCCACCGTCTACACAGTGCCGATCATCTCCCGTCGTCGCTGGAACTCTATGGTCTACATTTTCCGTCTCTATACAGTGGCCCAACTCTATGTTAATGTTTTATCCTAGTTTTTTGAATTTTGATTTAGGTATTATTCATTCCTGTGATTAATTGTGTTTACCAATTTAGGATTTTTTGATTTAGGGATTTCTAATTTTGGAATTTGGGCTTTATGATTAAGAGAAAATCCGGATCAATTGAGAATGCTTCAGGTGTTGATATTGTTGATTTTCCAACTATATTTTTAGATTACTTGTTATTCAATCTATAAGTTGGTTTTGAGTGTTGGTTTTTGTTATTTTCTCCAGGTTGCAAAGCATAATGGAGAGGAGGAGGCACAAGAGGGGTGGGCGTGGGCAAGATGATGTAGAAGAAAAAGAGCATGACATGAGGAGGGCCAAGAAGAGGCTGTTGTGGTGGATGCTGACTCAATAGATGGTGCTGTATCAGTCAACTCTAACGAGGCTGATGAAGAGTGGGGTACGAATAATGAAAGAAAATCGTCAGCCTAAAAGCGATTGGTTCGACCAATGTGAAATTCTAGTTTTTTGGCTGGTGATTAATTGGATTTCTTTTAGTTGTCGTGCTAATTCCCTTTCTTATATTTATATACATGTTTATTTTATTTAAGCTTCTTTATATTCCTTTGTGTTATTAGAGCATTTCCTCATCTAAAACCATCAATTTTTTTTTTTAATTTCATTGAATATTGATTTTTGTTAGTTATTAATAAATTCTACCATAATTTATTGCTTTAAAATTTTGTGGGTAAAAGAAGATTTACTAACAGAGACATTTTGAAGTT